CTGAGTAAAAAAAGGCGATCAACCAAGCTCCCCACACTAAATTAAAAAATCAATGATAAAAAAAAAACCCCCCAACAAAAAAAAAAAAAAAAAGTTAGTTAATATTCCCCCCTTTTTTCAACGGGGTAAAAAAAATTCACCCCCCCCCCCCCGCCAGCTTTTCCAACATTTCATGGAAAGTATATGTTTTCTAACTGCGTGGCGACAAGCCGACCGAATGTGCACATACTATTTTCTTTATCCAAAACAAAAGAAAAGAAGTTTAAAAAAATGTTACCCTTGATGATACCCTCAACCCTGGACAAGGAACCCCCAACCATCGACCCTCAACAAAAAGATAGATTCGTTTCAAAGACGTCACTTCTGTCAAATGTGAAGTTGTGACAGTTCCGCCGAAAACGTAATTCATTCATTCATGTGTCAAAAATCCGCGGACTCTGTCAGACGGTCTCATTCATTGTATGGTGGTTCGCGCTAAAAAATTTACGCTTATCTGGAAATTATTTGTGATTAATATTGCCTTCTTCAAGAACGATGCCTTTGTTTAAAGTGTGCGATGTCTCAAGGAGAAAGAGGAAAGCAGTAGTAGCAAATTCTCTTGAAGAACTTATCGCCAAAGGTACATGATTTAACATGACAATGTTAATTGAGCTTCTTCGAAATGGTTAACCACTACTGATCTATAACAAAATACTGGTCATTTTCGGAGTATGAGTCCTTGTACTTTAATTAATAGCCCTCGCTTCCGACCTCAGGAATAATTGTCTATGACGGCTGTTGTTAACACTTTCTAAACAGCTGCAAATATTCACCCTTTAAGACGACAAAAATTTCAAAATTTTACTTTGATTCTACTGTCTCGGGGAACGATTAGGATCCATAAGCCCATGAAGCCTGGCTTTCATCCCAATTTGTTCACTTTAATACTCTCCGACCAAAAGTGCAAAACGAAATACGATTGTAAACGACCGCCCGACCTGGCATTATATTTTTTCATTTCATTTAAATTTTGCTTTGAAAAGTGGCCAGGAACTAATACTCATTAAAATAGGTGTTTCTGATTTCTATCGACAAGAGGAGGAATTCCAAGCAGGTGCCGACAAAAGTAACCCAAGCGAGCCCAATTAACTTAGACAACACAAGGCAGAGTATTTCTACCTTACACAGTTTATAGTGCTGTTCATTTGTCAAATCTTATTTTCCTCAGGTAAAAAAAAATTATGCCTGGAGGAAAAGGAAGAATGTTTCTTATTTGAAGAGTACGATGGCACAGAAGTTGATGATGACGAAAGTCTGGTAGAGTACGAAAAGGGCAGTTCTTTTGTTCTCGGTAAAGAGTGGATTGCAAATCCAGGCACAGCATCTACACAAAGCTCTGCTGATGCTTCCCCTAAGGAAGCAACTAAAGAGCATCCCGCCCACTTCAGTGAAGTTCTGGTCGAAAGCAAAGCAGAGGAGCCTCCTACAAGCTGGCACGAAGTTGCCGACACAGAAACGGGATCAGAAGAGGACATCCATTGCTCGACTGCTGAAACAAGTGGGTATGCGATTACCAGGATCTGGTAATCTTCTTTAATCAAGTTCAGATTTTAGATTAGTCTGCTTGGCAAATGCAAAGATAATGAAAAAGCGAGAAAACCGGTCACCGCACTTAGCGCAGAGCATTAAAGGAAAGGAGAGAAGTCAAATCGTGTTTCCCTGTTCCTCAGTTGTTCTTCTCAGGCAAATAATTTCTTCTCATTTCTTAGCCTCTTCACAAATACTGCCCGCATCTACAACGCAGACGAATTAAAAAATCCTGTGCGGTAATACCAATTAATCGCACTTTTAGGGGAAAAATTGCATACATTACATTATCATGACAGTAAAACGTATATTGCATTTTTTGGCAGTTGCCAAACAGGAGGAAAAAAAAACTAAATCTGTGGACGAAACCAAAACAGAGGAGCCTCCTACAAGCTGGCACGAAGTTGCCGACACAGAAACGGGGTCAGAAGAGGACATCCATTGCTCGACTGCTGAAACAAGTGCGTATGCGATTACCAGGATCTGGTAATCTTCTTTAATCAAGTTTAGATTTTACATTAGTCTGCTTGGCAAGTGCGAAGATAATTTAAAAAGTGGGAAACAATGTCACCGCGCTTAGCGCAGAGCATTAAAGGAAAGGAGAGGAGGCACATCGTGTTTCCCTGTTCCTCAGTTGTTCTTCTCAGACGAATAATTTCTTCTCATTTCTTAGCCTCCTCGAAAATCCTTTCCGCATCTGCTACGCAGACGAATTCAAAAATCCTGTGCGGTAATACCAATTAATCGCACTTTTAAGGAAAAATTGCATACATTACATTATCATGACGGTCAAACGTATATTGAACTTTTTGGCAGTTGCAGAACAGGAGGAAAAGAAAACTAAATCTGTGAATGATGTTCTGATGCGGACGCCCTACTATCACGCCAAGACGAATAATATGAAAATATATTCGCCAAAGGAGATCGAATCAGCAACCGGAATGGAAAAGAAACGACGCCAGTTTTGGAATGACAAGGCGGAGCAACTGGCCCAAAACCAAAAAACTAGAAATCAATCAAAGACGGTGCTGAGTGGTTTAATCGACGTTTCCTGGACGCTGCGTAAGACGTCCATGCTTGAATCCGACGTGAAAAAGCTTCTGGATGAGGAGAAAGTTCTTTTTCGTAAAGATGACGTCGCAGGAAAGAAACTCGGAACTCAGAAAAAGGACACCACCAGTAAAAACGTGGAGAGGATGTCAGCCGCTCATCACGCAGTAGAAGGCATTGATCAAGAGGTGGAAGAGGTTCAGGAAGCCTTTCAGGCAGTACAAACTTTGGTTGACAGGAGAAAGTACTCAAAAGAGTATGAGAGGAAGAAACTCCCGTTAGATGGCGCCTACACCGAACTTAAGCGCGCCCAAGATGCGTTAACAAAATCAATGAAGGCTAAAGAAAGGGACATAGAAAATCGCTTAGCAGAAAGAAGTGGTAATGTCGATGTGGAAGAAGATGATGCATGTCCTTCTAGTCTGGGGGAAATTTGAAAATATACTCCACAATTCACGATTCCCATTTGACATTACATTCTTTTTTAAACTACATTAGTTTGAGAAAAGAACAAATTTATAACTATTGGGGAATCTTGATATCTCTACAGTGTATCTCCGTGCTGGTTTCAACAAGTGAAGTCGGCGATGATTACCTCACATTGTTACGTAGGGGAAAATTATTAATAGCAGATCCGGCTGTGGAGAAGATTTCTATAGTATCCATAGATTCGGTATGTGGTTTAAAACTGTTGTAAAAAATAGGTTTTCTGTTCGAGGTAAGAAGTAAGATGAAAGCCTTGGACAAATTTTGAGTGAAACTGGAGATGAAAGCTTCACAAATGTGGTTTTCAGTAAAAATTGGGAATCGTGAATTATTCTCTTTACATAATATTTTAATTTTGTGTTATATGCCGGCTTGATTTTCTCAGCAATATCCATTCGGTGCAAGTTGTAAACAATGGACTGTTTATGAAGACATTGTTGGTTTTGTTCGACCGGCCCTGCTCCCAATTATCAACAGTTTATTTTGTTGTTGTTATGACAGCTGTTATGACCGTGAAGAGACATAAAAAAAGATTCAAAACGTAGTAAATAACAACTTCGCCAGGAAAGGTTTCTGCGACTATGAAAATTTTTTTTTTTTGCCATCTCGTCGAGCGTCGAAATTCCACACGAGAGGCATTCATGAACACTGTTTTTGTTCAGTTTTTCAGATGGGCTCAAAGACAACTACAAAGCGCAATTATGGGAACACGGGCACGAGTCATCCGTAACAGGAAGTTTTCGCTAGTATTGAAAAGGTTAAAAAATTCTGAAAAATATGACGTTCAACATGCTCAATGAGATAATCTTTTCTTGGAGAGTCAAGAGTTCCATATCATTATTTCATTAAATAAATTCTTAAAGAAATAAATGACGTTAAAAGACAACAACAATAATTTTGCCTGACTGCGTATAAGGAATGGGTGGAGTAGGGAGCACTGCTACTCTCCTTTTTAACCAATGCATTGCATTGCATTAAAGAACTATTATAAAAAGAGATTGATGTCGCGACAACAGGAAAAACGGTTTCCGGAAAAAACTGTTTGTTGGTTTCACAACTTGACAATGGAACTCTTTAGATAATTAATATATTCACTCGCACAGAATTCGTCAAATTTTCTAAATATGATTTCCTGAAAATTACGCCTTTCAAAGTGGAAACTAGCCTGCATAGCAAGCGTTTCCGAGCAAGTTCAGTCGCAGAAGAAACGCGACGAACTTCTGTTAACTCCCAAAGATATATAGACGATTGTTATTAGTATTAAAGGGAGAGTAGAAACGCGCTATGCTTTATATCCAAAGATTTGATTGACTGATTACCAACACCGGAAATGGTGTCCTGGTATGCTTGTTTTAGCGTTTTTATTTGCTGATTTTTCTCGATACGTAAAAATAACAGGGATCTTCCCGCTAGTAAAGACAAAAAAAAGCCGACCCAAAGTTCTGCAAACGAACAATTGCTTGACCTTCCTAGTCACCGCTAAGATCTGTCCTTTCTCCATGTAGGTAGCCCCTTTAAGCAGTAATTTACAAGAAAGCCCGGTAAACTTCCCATTAGTTATGGGCTCTCACAACAGTATTGACAACAATGCGCTAAACTGGAAGGGGAAAAATGTTTTTTTCAGATTCACGAAATGGGGAGTTTTTTCAGACCATCGCATGTTGCAAGGCTGGAAAATGAAAAATCTAATGAAACTATGAACTAAGTATATCTAGTCTGAATGCGCGGAGTTGGAGAGACTTGGCTTGCCGCCGGTCTAAGCAGCGCGAAATTTTCAATCCTTTTACGCTGTGGTATGGCCGGTCAAGGTTTTCAAAACAGAAAAGTCTAGGGATTCTGAAATGCTTTATAGATGTAAAGTTGAGTGTTTGGTTTACGCTGGGCTCAGAAAACGAAATCATCCCAGGATCGCTTGACTTACCTTAATCGAGATATGATAGTTTATATCAGCTGGATTTTTTCTAGTATTTTGACAACCTTGACCGGCAGTCGACCTCAAAAAAGTTCTCAGTGTCAAAAAATATGGCTTCTAACGTTTCTGAACCCAGAATTTCACATGTGCCTAGCCTGCCTAGCCTTTCCCTTCCCTTTCAAACGCCTGCCACGCAGACTAACATGTGACGAACCTATATTTTTCAATATAACCGCGCTTCTGATTGGCCATTTATTGGGTTTTCGCGCCTGTGCGGACAGCTCACAGAAGTAACGACGTTTACCAGCATTCACGTTCAGTAGATGTTTTTAGACTGAAACTGGACAGTTTAAAACCGTCTTCTAAAAACTTGCTTCTCTTTATATGCATAAAGAAATCGTGATGTTTTTTAAAATTTATGGCGTTATTTTGTCCAGATATCAAGATCATGATCCCCTCAGCTGTCTCCTTGCCGTAACAGAACACTCACACAAAAATCAAAACAACAGTTTCCAGCCTTGGTGAATTTTACTTCTTTTAGTTCATTTCCCTATTTTAAGGAGCCGTAAGGATTTTATTTCTTTTCACCACGAATTAGGTTGGGCACATGTAAAGTTCGACCGGCTGAATCAACAGTCGAACTTATAGTTTTGGAGTTGACCTATAAAATAGGTGTTAGGTTCGGCATATCAGTTTGACGTTTGAACCGGGCCTTAATGTTTTGAAAACCTTGACCGGCAGTCGACCTGAAAAAGATATCAGTGTTACAAAACATGGTTTCGTTTCCTGAACCCAGCGTATACCAAACGTTAAACTTGAGATCTATAGCATTTCAGGTCAGTCTGCCTGTCAAGAGTTTCAAAACAGTAAATGACCGGCAGGAGTCCGTTATTTTTAATACACAATCCAGCCATAAGTTAGTGTACTCGCGCAGTTCAGGATCGCTTGACTTTTGTTAATTGACTTATAATTCAATGAAGAACTTTACATTACAAAAGAGTTCAAGAAAAAATACTCTAGCATCAGCGGGCAAATCATGCCGACCAGAAACAATAACCGCAGATAATCAATATACGTGTCATGACCTCTCAGTTTGAAATAAGCGGCAAAAATCACATTTGATCAGTGAAAACGTTTTCCTTCCAAAGCATAACCTACCCGTCAGAGAAAAAGAAAAAATTATTGGAACAAGCAGCATTTTGACATGAGGTAAAAGTCGTGAGTTGCCTACTGACCCTCCCCCCCCCCTTTTTTTGCGGTATGGTATTGTTAACGCACGAAAGCTCCAGTTTCTGCAGTTTGTTAGCAGCCATTTGAAATTATTAAAGGGAAAACTTCCTTTTGAAAAAAAAGTTCAATGCCTTTACAAGGAAACTGTATTGTATTCGTTAGCAAACGAGTCTGGTTTGATCTGCGCGCGAGTATCTATTAATTGCGAAACCACATTGTATCCACAAAAGGAAACGTACTCCGGATGAACATCATCTGTTGTACATTGTACATTGTCGAATTCAAAACTGTATTTACTTGGTCGTGTTGGAATTGTTTCTGATTGTGTTGGAAGCCTGTGTTTTGATATGTAATCAAAGATACGAAGAAGTATGATTTTTAAAAAGGACGGGTTTTTAACGTTTTAGAACGGGGTATCATTTTTAGAGCAATTTTTGTTAAAACGGGGTCCAAACTTGGAGACACGGGCGACACATATCCGGGTGCCCCCTGGGTTATTTATTCCGACGAAGTCAATCGAACGTTCGGTAATCAAACTCAATCAAACCCAATTGTTCGCTATTCGACTGTAAGCAGCTAAATGAGAAAAGATTCTAAACTTTCACTTCAGAAGAGGACCAAAGGGAACCACCTCCATATAAAAAAGTACGGCATGGTGCACCGTTTTCCCAACCTTATCATAGAGCAGTAATAAACGCTACTTTATAAGCGGGTCAAATTAACATAACACACTTCCAAAGAAAAGAAAAATCCATTTCAGACATTTCTGACGTGTTTGAAAAGATTCGGTCGTTGGGTGCCCCTGATTGCGAAGTCTACAGTTCTTTGATTGTTACCATGATCTTCAATTAGGAATGGATCAATTGAATGACTCGCAGATCAAGGAGTTGGCTAAGTCACTTACAAGTAAAGAGGCAGCACAGGAGATACTACACAACTTTCTTCCGCTGCTTCATACTAGGCTACAAAGTTCGAACACTGGTCTAAGACATCGACGCATTGACTTGTTGTCCAGGGCGCTTCTGCCATCAGACTTTAAACAATGGTTGGCAATAGAAACAAGTGGCGATGGCAGCTGCCTGTATAACGCTGTTTCTCTGTCATTGGTGGGTGATGAATCTCTTTCAGCTCTTCTGCGTATGCTAACCGTCTCCGAGCTATTTGCCAACGCTGAGTTTTATGCCAATCATCCCCAAATCAAAGAGTTTGCCTCAGCCTCTGGCTATACAAACTCAGCCATCATAAGCATTTTCCTCAGTGAACAGAAGTCATTAGCAAGTTATAATGGTGACTGCAGCAAAGTTGTTCAAGCAATACAGGTACTTGCTCAAGAAACAGCAGAGCCCTCTGTTTATTCTCGGCAATTCCACATCTTATCCCTCGCATCTGTAGTTGGCAAACCTATTTTTGCAGCATATCCAGATATTCAATCAGTTTGGGCAATAAAGTTGGCTTGCCATGGGTATTTTTATCCAAGAGATGTCTTTGCAAGTGACGTAAATCCAGAAACATTAAAGAATGCCGTCATCTTCGTTATGTGGACCAGAACCAACCGAATACCCCTTCTTGGCTGGGAACCCAACCACTTTGTTCTTCTTAAAGAGGCCAACTCAATTCCTTTAACCAAGAGTTATGCCCAAGTTGTTGCTAACGGTAAACCAAATATAGCAGCATATTCCACATTCCCTTCAAAACAAACTACGGGTAATGCAACTTACACGAAGGCACCAGAAAATGTCCAGACCCCTAAAACACAAGGAAAAAGCGATACATGGGAAGATGCCACACCTTCCAAAAAGACAGCTACACCCGACGTGCCTATGTGGCAGAATTCAACCGACCCCACTTCTCCCACACCCGCCCGGCAGAAGTCAACAAACTTTACACCTCCCGAAAAGCACGCTAAATTTACCACGCCACCTACCTGGCAGAATTCGTCAGACTCTACAACTCCCGAAAATCAAGCCTCATCCACCACACCCCCTGCCTGGCGAAAGTCAACAGACACCACTTCTCCCAAAAAAAGAGCCTTCATGCCCCCCACCACACCTAACTGGCAGAAGTCAACAAACTTCATACCTTCCGAAAAGCACGCTAAATCTACCACGCCACCTACCTGGCAGAATTTGTCAGACTCTACAACTCCCGAAAATCAAGCCTCATCCACCACACCCCCTGCCTGGCGAAAGTCAACAGACCCCACTTCTCCCCAAAAAAGGTCCTTCACGCCCCCCACCACACCTAACTGGCAGAAATCGACAAACTCCACACCTCACAAAAAGCACGCTACGTCCACCACACCTGCCCGGCAGAAGTCAACAAACTTTACACCTTCCGAAAAGCACGCTAAATCTACCACGCCACCTACCTGGCCGAATTCGTCAGACTTCACACCTCCCGAAAAGCAAGCCCCATCCACCACACCTACCTCGCCGACCTCAACAAATCCCAAGCCTCCCAAGAAGCGCACTGCATCCAACACACCTCCCTGGCAGAAATCGGCAGGCCCCACTTCTCCAAAAAAGAAAACAACCAGTCATAGTGAAAAATTACACTTTGGAATTTACTCCACCCCACGAGTGAGGCGAGTGAAGCGAGGGTCCAGTACTGGAAAACATTCAGAAGATAAAAGAAAACTGGACGAGAAAGAGAACAACCGGCCTATGAAGAACAAAAATCTACTCTTGTTTTTTACGAAACAAAAAAAAGAGGATACACCGAAGTACTCTGGGCAAAAGGGGGAGCAGAGTACAGAATCTATCGAGAAGGCCGCTGAATGAGGGGAGGAGGAGACCACAGAAGAGACTTTAAAGAACTTTGGACGTGAGGAGGAGGTAAGGACAGTCGAACAGACAATAAAGGATTATGGTAGTGATGACGAGGATGATGGAGTGTTATTTCCACTTCGTGGCCCAGGCTTTGAGTGGTATTTGGACAAGGGCGTGAAATTGAAAGCAAACGTAGCAAGAACAGAAGAACGAATGAAAAACACAGTCATAATGGAAAATAATGAGATGAAAGGACTCATGAGGGGAGCTGCAACAGGGTCACTGAGTGAAAATGTCGATGTACTTATGGACAAGTTAAGCTCTGCTGGATCTTCAAAACAGCAAGACCATATGAGCGCAATGATATCCATTGCTTACTTCATAATGAATAACGGACTTATCATTCCCACTCAGGTTCTTGCAGAGAAGTATAAGGAAGTGAAAGGTTTGAAGGAGTCCACTCGCATTGAATCTGCACGTTTGCTGGAGGTGTTGACCAAGCATTTAAACGTCGTTCAAATTTATATAGACGGAAGGGGATATATTTTAGAAAACCGTGGCCTCGAAATGGAGAAGATCTTGGACTCTTTAAAGAATGTCCAAAGAAACGATCAATTAACTGTCAACAAAAAAGTGGAGGAGGCGATTGGGTCTAATTATGAGACATTAATGGAATATCTAGACAGCAAGCGAGACAGAGATACTCTAAAGGCAGTGTTGACTAAGGTGACAAGTGTCAACTTGATGACCAGACTGGCAAGTGTACAGGACAAAAGGAGCTTTCAACGGGCTAAAGGTCTGGTGGGTCAGAATTTGGAACTTTTTAAGGACATGAAAAACAAATTAATGGCCGATTCTGGTTCACTTAGTGACGCACAGAAAAAGAAGAAAAATCGCCTTCTTCAAAGCATGAAACTTGAAAAGCTTCGTCATATCTTCAAGGGAAGGGGAAGAAGGTTAAAATGTGAGGAATTCCCAGACCTTGCTGCTATTTTGGAATTTGCCTTTGGAGAAGGAGATCGAGTAGATAGAGCTGAAGGTGGTTTAGAAAGCCATCCCAGACTTACCGATACCGTGCTTTACCGGGCTGCCGACAACAATACCGTCACGAGACAGGCAAGAGAAACCGTTTTAGCTCTGGCTCCTGAGGGATTCAACATCAGCCTGTCGTCTTGTTTTAATTATACACAAAATTATCGGGAAGGGACTTACCAAGCCAGGAGACACCATTCTGGTAGGGGAATAAATGCTTGTTTGGCTCTTCACAAACCCCCTCGCACTGGAGTGGAACAATTTGTCATCAATCTGCACTGGTCCACGCAAAATGTTAACCTAACACTAGATTTATCTCATGCATACCCCGACAACATTCTAGTTGATTCCAAAGACGCCAAAGCGAAGATCCATGCCGATGTCTCTCCCGTGCAAAAACCAGGAAAAACGTGGCGAAAGATCATTTTACCAGACCACGACTGGAGCAGATTAGCTCATAATGCCATTACCCCTATGACTCATCTTTTCTTGAAAACGGAGACCATTTTGGAAGAAGAAGAGGAGAACAATATTTTACACAATGTTCGAAGGACAGGAACAGCAGCCACCCTTTTGAACTTGTCTTATTTCGAGCCAGAGACCATCCAAAGAGTCTTCAATGAGCTTTTCCTTCTTCTCAATAACCCTGCACTGGACCATTTGTTTCGAAATCCAAAGACTAACAAGCTTAAGGAACATTTTGTGTTTGTGGTGGACAATGGTCCCTCTGAGGCTCCAGCAAGTCCTCTGGTAAGAATGTGGTTGGTTCGTTTGGCAAGACTGCTTCAATTAAAGACTGTCACCCAGAAGTCGTTTGCAGAGTACAATAGCAAAAGAAACCCGG